GATCTAGACATGTGCAACAGTGGCACACCATAGTCTGCACGGACCATCTTCACCTCCCCTATGTACTCCCAGGACAGCAGATTTCTGATCTGCACAGAGGCCTGGAAAAAACGGGTCCACGCAGCCTGGAGAGAAAACATGTTTTAAGCTGTTCAAGTGTGTAATAGTACACAGAGAAATTATTTTTTTCTTCCTGGTTTGCTAACATGCTTACCTCCATGAGGAAGACGTTGTTCTTTTTGGCAGAGTCCAGAATCTCTTTCACTTCCTTGGTGTTCATGGCCAGCGACTTCTCACTTAGAACATTCTTTTTAGCATTTATGAAAAGTTTGCAGGCGTTCAGATGGTATGGGTGGACGACTCCAACATAGACAACATCTGCACACAGGTCAAAAACTGAATGGTACTCTTCGTTCTTTTTCAGAAATGGTATGAAATGTATAGAGAAAATTAAAACTGGATAAAGAAAACATTTAATATAGAGCAGAAGGTATAGCAAAGTTTTTAAATTAAAAATAAACTGAAAAACCTCTGGCAAATGGATACTGACCTATGTCTGGATCTCTGGCCAGCTCCTCATAGCTGCCGTAAACTCGAGAGATGCTGTGTTTATTGGCAAACTCCTGAGCATCTTCCAATTTATGAGCTGCAACAGCCACAATCTGCAAGTACAGTCAGTTACAGTACAACCACCTTCCTGAGGACCTCAGTACACATTGTTAAAGTATTAAACTCCAATGAAATTGTGACATTTCGACATGGACAATATTTTCCAACTAAATGTTTTGTTACTTTAACAGCACCTTGCAACAGCATACTTGACCTCCAATTACAATTTATCATGTTACAATAAATGTTGATCCATTTTATTGAAAATTCCTATGTTAACACAAGATGGGGCAGAAATATGCGGTGATGCACTGAACATTTCAAATGATCGTAAAATGATTTCTGAAAGATTAAAGAAAAAAAAAACAAAGGGGAGAAACATCTAGACGCCCCTACATTGCATACTTTACTGTAAAAGGGTAAGAGCTTCTAGTTTGTCCAAATAAATGTCGACCACGGCCTGTAATTTGCAACTTTGTAAACAACTCGCCAACTACTGCATACAAATTTTAAGCCTGTCCGTTGAGCGCGGAAGCAGAAAGTAATTTTTAACTGAACTTTTACTCAGAGGTCCCGACATAATGTTTTGCACCGAACTGCGAAGAAATTCAATTGTGTGATTTTCGCTGCAGCTTAACAAACCCACCTGATGGTCTTCCGCAGGACGAGTTTTCAGAGCCACAGTGAAGTCATCACTGATCTTCCCTGCGCCGCAGATTCCCCACCTGGTTGCCATGTTGAGTCAAGTGTCCTCAGCTGTCTCTGCCCTCACAAGGTAACGTAGTAGGTGTTCACTGTCACCAGATGGCGAGAGAGCACCAATTTTCCTTTTATATGGTCGGTTTTGTAGTAACGTCACACTAATAAGGACTTGCACGTGCATTTAATATGTGAACAGCATGAATGCATGGATGCTTGGAAACCATTGCAGGCAAGTCGCTTTTATTTATTTATTTATTTAATATGGACAAGTAGAAACAATTAATATGTTTAAACATTAGCATAGCCATCGCTAATTTGCAATGCTTGTCAGTATAAGGATCTTTAAAAATCAAGAGAAAAAAGTAAAAATTACAACAATAATACAGGAGCTTGTATCAAAAGTATTTCTCCGGCCTGAATAACCTCAACCAATAATGATAAACCCTTTAGAACTAAACAAACGAATAGAATAAAGAGCCTTTATTTCCCCCACAAAATTTTATCTACCTTTACTAGCTGTTTTGAAATGTTCATAAATATACATTCAGTTCTTCTTTTGGTAAAATAATGATTCAGTAATTGACTGAGATTATAATTTTAGTCTATAAAATACATCATTTTTATATTTGGAAGTATTTAAAAACACTTGTATCATGATGCATTGTTTTATTACAAACATGATGGGTTTTTTTTTTTTTTACATCATTTTATGAAGTACATGTATTTTAATGCAGTTGATGTTGACACTGAAAAACAGAAGCATCTCCATATTTCTCTTCAAATGATGCTATAAAACAAACGTTTGCAATCAGTTCTTTATTAGAGTCATCAATCACACATCCCAGATGGCACACAATGGTAATTCAATGTTGAATTATAGTCAGAATAGTTGGTTTTGGTCGACAATTGACAATGGATCTACTATCAAACAATCATCCAATTCCAACCAATTAACTTAATGCTGAAAATATGTCATTGATCAATGTTATTTTCTGGTCGAACTCTATTGATTGAAATACCAATGTATAATCCAGTGTTTTTCAACACTGATCCTCAGGGCACACTGCCTTGCAAGTTTTAGATATTTCAGTGATTCAGCACACATGATTTTAATTGATTGCTGATTGACAGTTTCCCTGGTTCATACAGTACGAAGCTTAACCGCTTAACCTCATGAACGCTGTTCTTCCGTGGACAATAGATTGTTGTTCTGACAGTCATAAAGGAGTCAAATATGTTTTAAAGATCTACATCTCTTCTTAAAAAAATGTTACATCAATGACATGTTATTTTTAACATTTTATACACATATTTTTGGAAATATGTTGATGCAAGATAATTTTGAATGATATATACCCATGATACCCATCCTCTGCCAATAAAATAGCGCGTTTTACACCAGCGAAGTAACCTTAATGATATATTATGATGTAGACCAATCAGACTGAAAAATTTACATAAATCCTTAGCTTTTATTCAATATAAAATCAACCCAAATGTGCATGTAGATCCACATTCAGATGATGGTTGAATCAACATTGATATATTGTCGGTTATGGTTGAAACCCTAACGCTGATTCAACATGCAAGTC